GGTGTGGAGGTGTTCTATAACTACAATATCACTTAGTAAGAAGCAACATCTCATTGTCTTTGGTTGTTCCTTCTCTAGTACTTTGATGCCTCGGTGTGTGAATTGTATTAACCTTTCTAGTATGGTTAAACATGTTACTAGTGTTTGTGTTGAAAAAATTCATGTTGTTTTGAGCACTGGTCTGGTAAATGTTCTCCGTCCGCAATAGCAAATATTTAGTTCAGAATTCTATATTTTTGAAAAATTCCGAAAAAAATTCAGTAAATACTACATGTTTCCAGTAGCATTTTGGGAAAGTTTGAGCACATTTGGACAAATGGCCTAGGAGATCATGGCTATTTAGCTAAGCAGATTCAAAATTTAGTTAAAATTTTATTTTTTGAAAAAAAATCAGAAAAATTCCAGTAAATACTACCTACATGTTTCCAATAGTATTCTGAGAAAGTTTCAGCACATTTGGACAAATGTACCAGGAGATGATGTTGTCTTCCTTCAAGCGAACGTTTTTCTATTTTCACCGTTAACTTTGAGCCCATCCTTCATTTTTTTCATGAATTCTATATAGGGATGCGTATGTATGAGTGTTTGCTTTTGTACGGTGTTAAAAAGAAAAATAGGAGCACAGCAACCAAAGCAAAGGACGCAGATTCTGCAGACTACAGTGCACACAATCAATAATCCGCCACTTTCTGTCTGCACCACGTTCTTCACGCTGAGCAGCGAGCCGGCAGATCCTGCATGCTTTGCCCGCCGCTGCGCCTCTCCTTCTCTCCCCCGCCTAGCCGGTACCGCCGCCGCTGCTTCCCGCGGAATAATAATAAAAGTAGCCCCCGATAAAACGGGCCGGCCGCCTCCCTCGGCGCCCGCCTCCCCGACCCGCACGCCACGCGGGACTCACCCACCCTCCCCTTCCCTCCCCCCTCCCTCCCTCTTCCTCCCTAGGATGCGCGCCTCCCCCCGCCTCCTCCGGCCGGAACCCTAGCCAGGCAGGCGCGCAGCAGGCGGGCCCCCCGCGCCGATGGGGAGGCCGGGGTACCTGACGCTGCCCATCTTGGCGGTGCTCGCCGCGATCGGCTACGTCTACTACACCACGGTCTTCGTCGCCGTCGCCGGCTGGCTCGGCCTCGCCACGGCCGCCGGGGTCGCCAACGCCGCCGCCTTCACGGCCCTCGCCGCCGCCTGCCTCGCCACCTACGCCGCCGCCGTCTCCCGGGACCCCGGCCGGGTGCCGCCCGCCTTCCTGCCCGACGTCGAGGGCGCCGAGACCCCCGTCCACGAGGTCAAGCGCAAGGTGCGTGCCCTCTGCTGCCTGTTGGGGAGTTTTGGATCTGTGGAGCGGAATGGTGCTCGGTTCTTGCAGAATTTTCCCTTCCTCTCATGAAATTGGGCAAGTTTGCTTCAAATGCCGCGCCTCCCCAGTTAGGCAAATGTGGTTTAATGCCAATTTGCCTCCTAGGATTGGATCATTTACGACCATCTATGCGTGTAACTGTTCCATTCTGCCGATTTCAGCTCAAAGTTGCGACTGTTAAAGGAGGGACTTGATAGATACATAGATAATTTAGAATCTTCCACCGTGTGTGTGGATCCAGTCTAAGTTTGAAGGTTTGTCTAGATAATATTTTAAATTCCCATCGGGTTTGGAATCATGAGCAAAAAAATTATCGCAAGTTTCAAAGTGTTATCCATGGCCATTAAACAGAACAAGCACAAGCTATTAGCAAACCAAAGTGACTCTGAATTCAGCAGCTGGCGTTGCTAATCTTTTTCTAGTGGTGGCCCTGGTGGGTATTGCACTATTGCGTGTTGCATTACCATGCAAAGCCTCCGGTTTTAGGTTTTGTTATCTTGCATTTTCCAAAGTGAATGTGACGGTTGGATACTTAAATGCAGATAAATAGATAGCATTCTGTGAGTATAGCTATTTGGCCTCTTCCCATGGTATGTCCAAGTTTCCATTTTCCCTTTATTAGTTCGTTTTGTGTGCATAGGTGTGTTACAACGGTAGGCATCACATGTAAGTAGCTTATTCTGTCGCTGGGCCTACAAACATTTAAGCATAACAAACAAGAATATTGAGGTAGTCAATGCAAGATTTTTGGACCGCTGCTTCTTTTAGAAATTGAGCTCTAAGGTGACTTGAGCAAATTGCTTTGTGGTGTTAAAGGAAGAGTTTGCTGTCCGCAAGTAGCCTACTGAATTGGCAGTACAACGTGATTTTGCCTTGTACCAAAAATGGGGAAAATGGAAGGGAGATTAGCTTAGCATGGGAATAAGGTTGAGGTGGGAGTAAATAAGCAGGGAAATCCCATTGTCTCATTTATTCTGGAGTAAATAAGCAGGGAAATCCAATTGTCTGATTTATTCTGGAGTACAGTTCCGTGACGATAGCTGACAAAAATTATCTTCTCATTAGTTTCTTGTCTCAAAATACTCAATCTGTACTGTTTTTGCAGGGTGGTGATTTGAGATATTGCCAGAAATGTGGCCACTATAAGCCCCCACGCGCACACCATTGCCGTGTGTGCAAGAGATGTGTTCTGAAAATGGTGCTGGCTAGTACTAATTCTATGATGATCCTTCTATTTTATCTCCACTTTCAAGTTTTCACTAACTTTTTATGTGCAGGACCATCACTGTATTTGGATTAATAACTGTGTTGGGCACGAAAACTACAAGATATTCTTGGTCTTTGTATTGTATGCTGTAATTGCAAGCCTCTATTCAATGGTAGTTCAGTTTCTTCGATTACTTTGGCAAATATGATTTCTTGGGGTGGTATTAGCATTGAAAAGTATATTTTGCCATCTCAGATTCTAATTGTAGGGAGCGTCATTCACAGTGCTCCGAAAGATGAACAGTTAAGCAGTGATTCTTCTAGAACATTGATTGTAAGTACTCTTGCGTTGTTTTTTAGTTACCTAGCATGCTGCATGTTCATCTGAACTACTCACGAAAATATGAAACTTGCCAAATGGACAGATTATTTGTGGGATCATTCTTTGTCCATTAACTCTGGCGCTGTCGGTGCTCTTGGGCTGGCATATCCACCTCATATTACAGAATAAAACTACAATTGAGGTTTGTGACAACAAATTTCTCTTTTGATGTTGGGCAGCACTATCTTTATAGAAAATATTAAAAACACTTGTTATTGATGGTTGCAGTACCATGAAGGAGTTAGAGCAATGTGGTTGGCAGAAAAGGGTGGAGACCTTTATCATCATCCATATGACCTTGGTGTCTATGAGAATCTTATTTCGGTAAGAAGGAACTATTTTCTATTCGCGACGAAAAAGACTAACAATTTTCTGAGCTGTTTAAATGTTTTACATATTAAGATATGAATGCGGAATGGGAGTAGTTGATTTTCAGAGACAGTGTTAATGGCAACAGCTTTATTGTCCATTTAAAGATATCCACAATTTTGATACTGACTCCAAAGCAGATTTTGCTATATACACCCCTCCACAAGTTTGCACATTTGTATATTATTTCAAACAAATTTCAAAAAATTCCTTCCTAGCCATATTAAATAATGTTTGCTAAATTCTCACATGTAGTTATGCAATGCTGTTGGTATGTGCGTTTCACATGTATCTTTATTTTGGTCTTGCACGTTAGGGTGTTGGCCTTGTGACCATGAGGTCACGGGTTTGAGTCCTGGAAACAGCCTTTTGCGGAAATATAGGGAAAGAATGCGTACAAAAAACCCAAAGTGGTTGGAGCCTTCTCCGGACCTATGCAAGAGGGAGCTACGTGCACCGGGCTGCCCTTTTTGCACATTAGGGTGTTATATGAAAGTTTTAACTCAAACTGTGGAAACAGGTAGTCATTGTAGTAGTTCACCTCCCTTCATTGCATTCAACCAGAGTGGTGAAGTTAGTGCATTAAATTGAACAACGTCCCTGCTGCATGTATTCATAGTTAAGCACCTAGCACTACGCTTAGGATGTAGGCGGTCTGCTGTCAGGCCTGTGTGGCGCCAGTTTAACACATGATGCGGGCTTGCGCGGTGCCGCTTCCCGAACTATAATCGTGTTTGCTTGGTTGCTTTCTTAACCCTCGAAAGCATCGTGTGTTATATGTTCTGATGTTTCTGATTGTTTATCCACAGGTGCTTGGGCGTAGCATATTCTGCTGGCTCTGCCCAGTATCAGTCAATACAGGCAGTGGCCTACGGTTCCGTGCATCCTATGATATTTTACCATCTACACCGCCATGTGATTTACAAAAGATAGCATTACATTCACATTGAGGTACATAGTTGCTAATATGAAAAAGGGGATTGATATTCCTATTCAAGTGCCCAAAGTGTACAATTTCTGAGCCATTTCGGATTGTAACAGGTTAGCGGATACTTCTTAAAACCCTCAAATGTAAGATATGAGAAAAGATACATGCGGATCCAGAAGTATTTACACCTCTCCAGGGTTCCGTTTTGAGATGGTCGTATTTCCGGTACGAGGAAGATGACTGCTGCCTCAGCTCATAATCCGGTCTCAGCTGTGTTTGTACACAAAAAGTTTAACCCTTGTGTTGTAAAGTGAATGTACATGCTGTGTTCGGAAGCAAAAGCATATCAAAGCAAATTTTGCAGAGACTGAGATGCACGCCTGTTCAGAAGTAAATGCCACATTTGCTGTATACACTCATCTGCAATTACATTATCTCAGACATGGAAATGTCATTGCTGTGCAGTAAAAATGACTCGTCAGAAGTGGTGACATTTCACATCTTGTGTAAAAACCAAGAGAAGTTTGCTGTGATTATTTAATGTTTTCAGTAAGGCTGGTGCTGGGCAGCATACGGCATCCCCCAAAGCACAGTAGCCAACAAGCAATCTTCTCGCAGTCTGATGCTTTGTGCAGATTAATTTATACTCCGTACTACTTCGTCCCACAATGTAAGATGTTTTCTTTTATGCGACGGAGGGAGTAGGTTACAACAGTCGGCACTCAGCAGCAAATGCAACTACTAATACATCAGTTGGGAGTAATCTATTTGCCCTTTCCTTTTCCCTTGCCCTTCTTGGCGTCAAGTTTGGCTTGCACACGAGCCGCTGCCGCGGCCTTTGCCTCCTCCCTCTTCTTCTTCTCTTCCTCTTTGGTGGCAGCTGCCAGCTCCCGCTGTTTCTTAAGCTCCCTATCGAAATTTATGTATCAAAAATCATGTATTTTTTTAACAATCACAAGGGTACTACAAAATGGATAATAGGCATGATACGTAGTTCTCAAATCTATTATTTAATTCCAATATGATGTCCAATGCTGTTTAACATGATTATTGGGTACTAATTTTTGTATTAGAAAAAAGTGCCAAAACTGGCTTAACAGTACTACTGACCAAAAAAACAGCAAAAGCTCCACCATCCCCATGAAACAGAAAAAAAAGGACAAAAACTCTTAAAAATGGAGGATTAAAAAAGCTATGGCTAGAGATGTTATGGGGTGGACGAGCATTCAGAGGCAGAGTTCTCAATTCCTTAGCTCCCTGCCAACTGCCAACCTCCACAGATCAGCTTCATTGAGTATTTTGTTGACCACCGTCTGATTATTGGGTACTTGATGCATTAATAAATATAAAAGAGGAAACACTTGGAGATGTCTTACTCTAGCCTGGCTTTCTCATCAGATACACTGCCCAGACTTGAACCTTTCCTTGGCTTGCAAGCCACTAATTCCACCTCAAAAATGAGTGTTGCACTGCAGAAACAAAGCAAACCTTGTTACAGAAACTTCTGGCCTGGGGATGCTTACAACTTCAGTCAATCAAGAGGTGAAATGGCAAACAAACTTGGCTGGTATCTCTGGTGGCGAGCCTGGACTTCCATACGCATATTCCGGCCTGCATGTTATTTTTGCAATCTCGCCAACCTTCAACATGCCGATGCACCATGCCATATTAGAAAGAAACTTTCGAGGCTATCAAAGTGAGCAAGCAATTATAAGCGTTCACATACTTTCATAGTTCTTAAGGCTATGTCCCATGCTTTAATGACAGCTCCCTGGCCAACTTCAAATGTAAAAATAGAATTGTCTTCATGTGTGGTGTCAAAAACTTCGCCATTTTCAGCAAGTGTCCCTTCATAATGAACTGCAAATAGGTATAAAGGCAAATGTTTAACCCAACATGGCAGATTAAGCAGTGAAACGTTTACTGTATTGCATAGAAAAGTGCATTGCCATAAGATTCGGGGGCAAAGTAGCCGAATGGAAAAACGTTGGAAGCACTTGAGAGAAAAAAACTTGTACCATAACTTAAACCCTGAGCAACCGCCCAGCCAAATAGAAAATAAATTATTTATGGCTATGTTTTACTCAGATCAGAGGGCTATGTATTGACTGCAGTACCATCAACCAATGGAAGGCTGTCAGATGGGCTTATAGCATCATCTTTTGCTTTTCTGACCACCGTCTTAAGAACGCCTCCATCCCCTGTTAGATCAATGGTTTCTGCCATGACCTTGCTGTTGAATGGAGATTCTGAAAGCAAGAAAGAACAGGGCATTATTAGAGTGCTCTAGCAAAACCAAATTTGATCAAACTAGTGGGTACAAGCACTTGAAAATGCATAGTCAGTTCCTTCACTTATCTAAATTCTTTCAATTAAATTTGAAGCCAGTTTTAAAATAAAAGGTTTCAGCCTTAGGGTAGGCAGTGCGACCGAAGGAATACTCAAGTAGACTCTATAACCGTTTTTCTCATCAAAACAAAAATGAAAAACACAGTACCAGTCTCACAAATAACCCAATTCCAACAGCTGAGTTACACAAAACAATTCCAATAGGTGATAGGGCGGCCCTACTTAGATCTTCTCCCAGTATGCATTTATGTAACCTAAAAGTTAATTGTGTTGCCCCTCCCAGATCAACAACCTACAGGCTTAAAGCCGAACCTAGAGCAACTGCAATCTTCCTCAAGCACTACCGCATGGCACAACCTGAACTGAAACTGTGCTCAAGTATTGGAGACCTAAAGGCCTCCACGGCAACAAAATCTACTACAGGTCCATGACAAAATCAGGCAAAGGAAGTAGAATTTACCTCGGATCGGCGACGATTTGGAGAGAGAGCCGTGGCAGCGGGGGCGCCGGTGAGGACCTGCTGAACGGATGGGTGTGGTGTTGGGATTAGAAGGGTGAGCCGAGAGGAGGGAGATGGATGCGGGCGGCACGTACCTTCACCGAGAGAAGGGGAGGGGAATTCAGAGTGGAGGGAGCGACGATGATAGACAGATCTGGATGGGACGAGGGGAAGGGGGAATCAGAGGATGGTTTCGCGTGATTTTTACCGGAGGATGCCCTTCGTCGATTCGATTCGATTCGGTCGTCACTACTACGGACTGTAATATTCTCCTTCCAAAGAAAAAAAAAATTGTGGGCATTAAAAAACCTTTGTTTCTTTATTAAAAATAATGTAAAATCTTTAGTTTTTTTTTATGTTGTATAGACTCAATATCTTTTGTGCAAAGTATCAAAAACTAAACATTCTCTTTGAAAAATATCAGAAAACTAGATAGGTCAATTCCAGAATTCTAGGCTTTGGATTTCAATGTTAATTGTTGCCGCCCAACTAGGCAGACCTACATGGCAACACTCAATTATACTTATTAACCAGTCAAGAAGCTATTGGGGATAAATCTCGCTGCCACCATGGTATACAATATTGATACTGATGACAATTTAAAATATCTATGTTTAGAAAAGGAGGTTAAAAACCCCCAAACTTTTAAAACTTGAATATCTTGTGTTTATGAAAAACTTGAAATACCTTCTGCTTTAAAAAGCTCGAGTCATTGATATTATCTCCGTAAAAAGATTCATGTAGGTATTCATTACAAACTTACTCATGTGATATTTCGCAAAATGGCATGATCATTTGTGACCCATGTAAAAAGAGAAGATGATAGTGCTACGGTTTAAGTTTCGGATCCTAAATACAGTAATATTTTTCTCATTTTTATATAGGTCGCAAATTGTCATATGATTCTACGAAATTTTACATGGGTAAGTTTCAAACTCGATATCTACTATATGAGTGATTTTTCTAGATTTTTTTCAAGAACTTAGAAACACATTGTTTTCTAAGTTTTAGAAAGTGGATAAATCAAAACACATGATATAGGTCGCAAATTAGTAACACTATATTTTTCTTGGAACAGTGACTTGGTCGAGGTGGTAAGGCTCAAAGAGAGTAGAGGTGAACGAATACTAGATTGCCGCTCATTCAGTGTTGTACTTCACACTTCCCCTAATTAAGACTAGTCACATATATAGTGTTGGATGTTCACTCAAAAAATATTTTTACCAGCCCGATAACGAAAATTACGTTCATTTGTGCTCTTAGAGCATCTAGAACTGGGCTGGGCAAATCTGACTCCATAAACGTCCACGGATGCGTCGCCAGACGGTCACTCATTTGTCCTCCAGGACAACTACACCCTTCCTATCCAAACTCTCAAATCCATACACATCCATAATATAGCAAGAATTCACCACCAACTCAATAATGCAACAAAGCAAAAAAAACCACAATTCAACAGTTCAACATGCCAAAATGAAATACGACAATGCATAGATAGGCGATACAAGAATGAATCTTTTGCTCGCGACCACATCGGCCAAGCTCTCTCTGCACACGGTGATCTCCTTCTTTTCCGCCTAAAGCCACTTATTGCCTTTCGGATCCAAGACGGTAGCATGAGCCAACATGAACCTCGAATCCTCCATGTCCCGAGCCAGTTCCACCCTCTCTTTCTCGAGATCAATGTTGATTCAAAAGTCTTTGCCTTCTCGAGCTCCCATTTGACATACGCCTCGTGCTTCTCCAAGTCTATCTTCTCCCTCTCAAGCTGCAATTGTTATTCACCCTCTCCTGATCCCAATCCATCATCCCCTTTTACACATCCAAGAAGAGCTTGTACCTCTTCTTCTTCTCCTCCTGGGTGAAAAAAAATGCTTGTCCATGTGGCGGACATTTTGCTCACCACGGAGTCATGTGTGGCTCTGCTGTTCTCCCACTTGTTTTGCATCATTTGGCAGGTCCTCTTTGGCACGGTGGCTTGTCCCTCCTATACTCTACGTTCCTCATCTTCATCGTCCAATACAATGGATTGTTTGGAGCTTGTTCCATCGTTTTTCTTCAACTTCTTGTTATCGTTCTTGAGGTCATAGACAAGTAGTTGCCACTTTGGTTTCTCATTCAATTTCAACCAACAATAGCACAAAGTGAATGGCTTCCCCGAGGTTTGTTGGTACAAAGTGGCAACCAACTCCATCTAACAAACATGAATCAGTCGTGAGAATGGAACAAACAAAGTTAGCAATGCAAATGATGACAAACGAAGCAAGTCAGCTTACATGACTATTGACTCCAATGCCTCTTTGGTTTCGTCCAAACACAAAAAGAGTAGTAGTTGCAGAACCTGTTCACGCTCTCTTGGATGGTGGACCATCTATATTGGAGCGGCCTCATTGTGGATGGTATGGATAGGGTTCAACCCCATGTATTCTTGCATTCAAGGTAATGCTTGTGGATCTTTTTTCAGTACGTGTTTTCCTTTTGCTCGATTGCAAATATAGGGTCCATACTTGTGGCAAACCAAGCTTGACACAACAAAACATCCTCATGGCTTGTGAATGCCGGACCTCTTGCATTGGGTATGTATATTTTTGTTAAGAGTGCCTAATGTTTTCCTGACATCATGCATAGGAGAGTGGGTATCTCCCAAGGCATAATACATAGGTTCTTGACCATCATTGATCGTGTCCATCATGATAACCTCTTAAAGGATGATATAGCAAGAATAAACTAATGGCATATGCAACAAAAGGATTCAATGGCATATGCAACAAACTGATTCAATGGCATATCCAACATGATTCTCTAAATTGATCTAATGACATACGCAACAAATGAATGAATCAATACAAAGTGGGGCAAAAAATGTACCATGTCCTCCTCGTACATTTTGTGGAACATGACCTGGGAAGACCTAGCGTTGGCGGTTCCCTGAGGCGGTCCGCACCTATTCGAGTTGCGGCAAGTCGTACACCATCTATGGCGTGTCCTGTTGCGTCCAGCCATCCAGAATCCCTACCCATTCAGATGGCAGAACGGAGTCGGTCCCGAGCAGGGCGGATGGCACACCTACCTCTTTGGAGGTGTGGGGCGGACACAGATGGCCCCACCAGACCCTGTGCATCCACGTTGATGTGGATCACCTCCTTGTCCTCAGCTTCCTGCCCCCCGCTGCTTCCTTCACCTCTCCCTCTAGGGTGATGTTCTCCGCCTTGCAGCTGACCCCCACGGACAGGACACCCACAGACTCCATTGATACATCATCCATGCATGTGTTGGGAGAAGGGATACTCGGTGATGACATCTCGTACATGAGAAATACCAGATGATGGCGGCGGCACGGGCCGGGAGCAAGGGTGGAGGACAGCGACAACTCGGACATGGGAGGAGAGCGGTGGATTTGGTGGACTTGGTTAATTTGGGGGGAGATGAGGTGGGTCATGTTTGTCGGATCCGATGTGGCAGATGCGTCCGAGCCTCCCCCATATTCGCCCAAGACATGGGCTAGATTTGAGGGGTGGTGAACAACCCGTACATATAGGGCTGGTTTGAGGGGGACTGGTCGGGTGGCATTTTTGCAATTCGTCACTGATAGGGTTGTCCGCCCGGTCGATATGAGGGCTCTGACTGTAGATGTTCTTACACACTTGACATACGTAACACGTCGTTTATGACCTCCATCCTCTTCTATGTGTTGTTTCGGTTGGCACACAATAAGATAGTACAAAGTGGGTTCGTTGGCAACGTTTGTTCCGACTGTGATGATGAAGAACAAAAATCCTTAAGCTTCAATCATGTCTAGGTGGTGCTTGGTGCAGCATCGCTGAGGAGCTTGGGAGTTTTGTACCTATTCTCCTTCATGGATAGCGGTTGGTTGTATGTGTTGTATGCCGGCATGACTCGATGGCCATCGTTGGCAACAACATTGTCTTCTCTAACACCCCTTCTTTTCGAGCCTCTACAAGCAAGGGCATCAGCCCAATCTCGCAACTAGCTTGGTTGCTTGACTAGATCGGAGTGATGCCCCCGCCTACATGTTTTGCACGATTGCCAGCCTCAATCATATGTATTGGCTTATTACCGCATCGATTCAACAAGGCTTGATCATCTATGGTCCTTTGTAGGTACTTCGGTGACTGGATTTTTCGATGTTCTCCATCATCGACGAGAGTCATGGTTCTTTCTTATGCTTATAGTCTAGTCCTATTATCCCCTTGGTTTAGGTTCGTTTTTGTGTGTCTGGGTTCAGAGTTCCGTTACCCACAATTCGATTGTACCCGAAGTTCCATTGATGTAATTTAAACCAAACTTCTGACTATTTTTACAGGAAAAAAAGCGTAGTTGAGATGCTTATCTGAGCGCATGTACTGGTGCTCGACGGCATATGCAGCCTACCACCGGTTGCTAGGCGTAGGGGAAGGCCATGAAGTACACTGCCACTCTTATCACTTACTACATCGATCTTATCTGGTCCTACTGTCCAAAGGAGGAGCCTTTTCTTCCCTTTAGCTGTAATGGCTGGCAAGTTGCGAGCCATAGGAAGTAGGAACAGAATGCTCAGGTACGGACTGCGTCGTTTAGGGCGCGATAATTCACGGCGTGTCGGCGTCAGCGCTGGACGCTCAACAGTGCAAACCTTGCATGCAGCAGAGCGCGCCATATTGCTTGCCAGGGCAGTGCAACGCAGCGGCTGCGGCGCTGCCTGCCCCTCTCCTTTCCTCTTTTCCTCTTAAAAACATGTAATTAATTACTGTAGAACACAGCACAGTACATTTTGAAGCCTTTCCCATGTTTCTCGCTTGTAAAAAAAAATCTACGAGAGAAGGCAAGATGGATTCACAGAAGACGAATATGGTGGTTCCACAAATCTCTTCATATAAAATCAAGCACATACTATGTCAACTAGAAGAAGAAAAGAAACAAATGGAACAGCTTCTCCACCGATCGAGTCTCCCCTTGTAATGCTACTAATACATATATACTACAGCTTCAGGAATCAGGAGTAGTGCCGCCAGCACGCGAGCATGGCGACGCAGCGGCGCGCGATGTAGAACCGCGCGCGCTGCTCCCTGACGAGCCGCGCGCACCGCCGCGGGAACGACGACGGCCCGCCGCCGTTCTTGCGCGTGGCCATTGCTCCTCTACCGCTCCTCTTCTTGGACAGCCCGCACTTGTCCATGGACGCGCCTTTCCACCCGATCTCCGCCTCCTTCCTTCCGATCAGCGCGCCTGGCCGTGAGCTCGATCGGAGACGAAACTTGGCCGGCGGAGATGGTAGGACGTGAGGAGCAGAGCAAGCAGAGCGACACAGTGAGTGAGTGAGGGAGGGAGGAGGGCTGTTGGGGGCGACGAGCCAAGTGGTAGGGCTCCCGGGGTGGCATTTGTCTGCTTATATCGTGGAGCAATCGGGGATGACGGAGCGGTCAGTGGAGTGCCGTGTCTGCTCGCGCGCGTAGGGCCTTGATGCGCCAGGGGGCACGCCACTTGGTACCCTTTTTTATTAGTGTGTTGTTCAAAGTTCACGTGTACTTTGGCATTGCACGCCTGTTCCTGAGTTAACTAACAAACAATTTAGTAATGCGCCAGGAGTGAGTTTTCTTTTACTGGCAATGCCAAAGGCGAGGTTTTAAAATGAAGACCAGGAGCAATGGTTATATTCACTTCGAGTAAAGTCTGAAATAAACCCTCACGTTATAGAGGTCGACCCTCACCTTCAAATCTCCGAAGTCGGTACACTGAACTCTCTAATCTACGTCTATCCTAACCCTAAACATGTTTTGGTGCACTGGGATAAGATATGATCCTGGCCAAGTTCATCATCTACTCTCACTAACAATATGGATCCACAAGTCATATTAATCTCTCTCCACTTATCTTCTTCCTCTGTCCTCTCCTCTCCCGATCCCTTTTCTCTCTCCCTATCGTCGATCCATTTCCTCCTCCCGTCGGGTGCGATCTCCGCCCGCGCCTCGCCGCCGTCAAGCGACAAGACATCAGGATTGACGCGCATGTTGGCCACCGAGAACCTCTTTGAGATGAGCATGCACGCCACGCGGAAATCGAAGAGGAAAACATTAGCATGTACTGGGTGATGGACTAGAGCATGATGAGCTGCACCACGAGGCCGATGGGGTGGATGGCATACATACGGAAGAGGAGCTGGATGCCCATCAGTGGCGAAGCTAGAAGGAATCTGCTAGGGCGAAAGAGAAATTATGAGTATT